ATCCTTTGTTGTGGGTGCTTACATTTTGCCCTCTTTTGTTGCTGCTGTTGTTATCCCACTGCAAGTGATGCACAATAATGTTGCTTGAGTCGTGCCAGAGTAAAAATTGAGGCAAAGAAACTTTCTTTGGGAAATGGGATCCATTTGTGCCTAAACCATTTTCTTTCATGGAGCCTGCTATAGATCAGTTTAGAATAAAACGTTTGCATTCTTCATCACAATCGTTTTGTAGCCTAATTTGCTATGCAATCTGGATAGTGTAGGTGACGAATTTGCACTACCTTTGATTGATACTTATATAATCTAAAGCACGTAGTCCATGTTCATTACTTTGATTTTGCTTGCTGATGCGTCAATTGAATCTGGGTTTTTTTGGGTGTTTTTTCCCCCTCTCTATCGTTACCTCTCTGGTACTTACCGTGTACCTACTTGGGCTGCTTCAGTTCAAAGTTATCATACATGTACTTCCAATATTGGCTACTTTCGATTCAAGTCAGTTATAATTATGATCCTTTGTTGTGGGTGTTTACCTTTTCGCCCATTTTTGTTGCTGCTGTTGTTATCCCACTGCAAGCGATGCACAATGAATGGTTTCTTGGGTCCTGGCATAGCAAAAATTGAGGCAAAGAAACTTTCTTGGACTAAAATTAATTTCCGTTTGTAGCGACATCCTTGAACTATTGTCTACTTCAGTTTACAACACATTTTCGTTTTGGAATCCATTTGTTATTGAACCATTTTCGTTCATGGAACCTGCTATTGTTCAGTATTGAATAAAATGTTTGCATTCATCATCATCATCGTCGTTTTGTATCCTACCTTGCAATGCAATCTGGATGGCGTAAGTGACGGTTCCTAATTTGTGTGTGTGTGCGAAGAAATTTGACGTACTAGCGTATCTCACACATAGTAGCGTGTGTGCAGGCGATGTGAAATCTCAATGACATCACGTAGTAGCGTTTCTGAATTAAATCCGGGCTTTTTAAAACTAAAACTACGCTTTTCTAGAGAATTCATTTGTAGTGACTTAATAAAAGACACTAGCTATTCTTATTAAATTAAATTTTCATTGCAATAGGTTGAAAAATCTACATGATGGCATGACCACCATAATAAAAAGGAGAAGATGGAGATGGATTAGACATGTACTGAGAAGAGAACCAGACTCTATTGGGAAGACTGCCCTCCACTGGACACCCGAAGGACGTCGCAAAAGTGGAAGACCCAAAGTGACCTGGAGACGCACGGTAGAGTCTGAAATGAAG